ACCCCTAGCTAAGTCTAGGTATTACTTATTTTATATATACTAAAGCCCTTACCTATATATATAGAGTCTAAAGTACTTATAGACTTACTAAATATACTAGGCTAAGCCTTTAGCTAGGTTAAAGTTAGGTATTACTAATTATATATATATTAAAGTCCTTATATATATATATAGAGTTAAAAGCCTTAATAAGTTTAATATTTAATTACTTACTAGTTAAGCTATTCTATATTAATACTACCTAGTATATACTTAATAATAAGTATAGATTATTACCTAAAGTCTATAGTTAATATTCTATATTAATAATACTTAGTATATACTTAGCTATAAGTATAAGTTCTAAACTATATCTTATTTAACCTTTTTAGGAGAAAGGCTAAGAGGATTAATATAATAGGTATATACTAGAATAAGGCTAGAATAAGCTATAGAATATCTAGCCTTCTTAGGAGAAAGGCTAAGAAGATTAGCCTTTAGTATAAAGGTAAAAAAAAGAAAAGGATAAGTATATATAAAATTAAGTCTTAGAATATATTAAATTTAGAAAGATTATAAATAACCTTTTAATATAAAAAGAAAAAGAAAAAGAAAAGAAAAAAAAGAATATATTTATAATATATAATATATATATAATATATATATACTATAAAAATATATCTTCTTATAAATATAAAGATATTATACTATTATATATTAATTATTACTAAGATATTAACTATACTTAACCTTATACTATAAATAAAGAATATATAGTTATAATTACTATAATATAATAAGGTAAGGTATATATATAATATATCCTAGATATATACTAATATCTAATAGGACCTTTTCTTAAATACCTTTAAGGATAATAACTTAAAGAACTTCTTTAAAATCTTAAAAGATACTATTAAATATTCTAGGCTTATTATTAGTAAAGGTAGACTATATATTATCTTTATAAAGAAGGTTATTAACTATACTACCTTACTAAGCTATTTAAAAGCTTTAAAAGATAATATTCTTTATATTATACTAAGTATTACTTTAGAATATACTATATTAAATACTATAAAGGCTATTATTACTTTTCTTAAAGAGTAAATAAGTATTATAAATAAATATATATACTTTATATATATATAATATATATTAACTATATACTAGATCTAGTTTATATTAAAAAAAAAGACTATTAAAAGTAGTACTTTAAAGAAGTACTTATTTATTATACTAATTTTCTTATAAGTATAGCTATATACCTAATATATACTATACTAATAGATTCTAAGAAATAAATCCTTAAGAACTAGATACTAGTATAGTTCTAGTATATATTATTCTAATATATAGATATATTAATATATTTAAAGACTAATTAAAATCTTATATCTTATAGCTATAAATAAAATAATAGCTTTAATCTTTAGAAGATTAATAGTATATACTAGAAATATACTATAGTATATAATATAAAAGATATTAATAAAATCTTAAAATAATATATAGAAAGTACCTATAGCTCCTTTAAGGAGAGGTAGGATAACTAATATTTACCTTATTAAATTCTTTAAGGTATAAAAGATACTATAGATATACTAACTAAATACTATATAGAGTAAAGTCTTACCTTTCTAGAAGTTAAAAGGGAGGTATTTATTAGCTACCCTTATAAGTTAAGTAAAGGTATTTAGTATATATATTAGAGAGTATTAAGGAATAGTATTAACTTACTATATCTTTAGTATCTAGTTAAGTATAGGCTATATATATTAGAGGATAATTATATATATAATAAATACTCCTTTTAGGATATTTTATTTAATTAGAAATAATATTACTATAAATTTATATTACCTTAATATATATTTACTATATACTAACTATATTTATAGTATTTAATTATATATTATTATTATTATATTACCCTAATTAGACTAGCTAGTCTATCTAGTACCTCTATAGCTTATAAGATAGGGAAAAAACTAGAGTACCTAGAGGAAAAACCCTAGCTCTAGTATAAGTTTAGCGTAATCCTAAAGCGATTCCTAGTAGGGAGTAGTATACTCCTTATCTTAGTAAAAGATAATAATAATAAGCGTAAATATATAAAACTTAGTAAGCTAATAGACCTACCTATTCCCTACTTAACCCCCTTAACCTCCTCCCCCTATAGCCCTATCCTAGCCTAGGCTAGGCACTATATATAGTTAAGGTCCCTCTTAAATCCTAATCCCTAGATACTTTAAAGTATAAGTAGGTATAGTAATAGCTATAAAGGCTATAATACCTACCCTTATTATTCTTCTCTTTAACTTTTATAGTCTATTTTCTATATTATCTATACTAAATAGGTAGGAACCTTACTTCCTATAAGGCTTTACCTATACTAAGGCTAGTTAGGATAGCCTTACTACTCTCTTACTTTTATATACTTCTATACCTATCTTTACTTCTTACTTTATAATTACTTTATTTATATCCTTATACCCCTCTAAAGCCCCTAAATTAATATTAGCCTTTATATAATCTACTATATTTACTATATTAAGTAGGGAAGGAGCTATAGCTATATATATTTAATTATTATTATTTTTAGCCTATTACTTAGCTAGTTAGCCTATTTACTATAATATTTAAAAAGCCTTAAATTCCTTAATTCTTACTCTTTTCTTTCTTTTTTTAATAATATATAATTATATATCTCCCTTACCTTTAGTATATATACTATACCCTACTATTACCCTTACCCCTACCTAGGCTAAGCCTTTCCTACTTTAGCTACTAAACTATATTAACTCTCCTTTTTACTAGTTTCTTACTATTATTATTACTATACTTATATACTCCCCTTCTTCTTATCCTTATATACCTCCCTAGGCTATACCTAGGCTACCCCTAGCCTTATCCTAATATTACTAATACTTCCTAGAAAAATAAAAATTTTAATTATTACTACTATTACTACTATAGTAAGTTACCTTATCCTTAGTATATACCTAGCCTTATCTTATCCCTAACCCTATTAGTTTAATACTACTATTATTACTATTAATAATATAAGTAACCTTTACCTATCTATTATCTACCCCTATTTTAATACTAATCTAGCTAGCTACCCCCCTTACCTCCTTACTACCCTATTAAACGCTTATACTAGGTTATTACTATAAGTAAGCTAGTACTAGTCCCTTATAGCTAGTACTTTAAGTATATAGATAATACTAGTACTATTACCTACTTTAAGTAGGCTAATAAGTATCCTAGTACTATACTAAGATAGCCCTTATCCTAATCTAATCCTAGATCCTAATATATCTATATATACTAAGTATATAAAAAATAATAAAGTTTATATACTAATAAGTCTCTTTAATTTTAATCTAAAGCCTAACTAGGTTTAATCCTAGTTAACCTATTAATAGCCTATTAATAGTATTAAGCTTATAGCTATTACTACCTAGGATTAGCTTTTAGCTTATACTAAGGATAGCCTAGCCCTAGGCCTAGGTAATACTAAGTTTAGCTACCTAATAGTAGCTATCTACTATACCTATAACTAGGCTAGTAATATAAATACTAAAGGTAATACCTACTATATCTAAAGTATAGCTAGTCTAGTCTAGGTTATAATTATACTAGCCTTTACTAGTTATAACCTAGCCTTAGCTATAGCTATTTATACTAATACTAAGGTACTAGTATACCTAGACTAGGCTAGGGCTAAGGTAGCTTACTAGCTAGCCTAGTAGTAGTATACCTTAGCTAGCCTACTCTAGATTATTATAGCTACCCTAAAGGCCTAGGGGGTAACTATACCTAAGCCTAGGCTAGATAAGGGCCTAGACTTAGCTACTTTAACTAAGGGGGAGGAGGGTAAAGAGGAGGAGGAGGAGTAGGAGGAAGAGGAGGTAGGGAGGGGTAGTACTAAGCCTAGCCTAGGTTATACCTATTTAAAATTATTTTTAGTTTTCTATATATTTTTTTTTTTTTTTTTTTTTTAG